CTGCTGGTGAGTTGGTCCCATTCACACATGGAAGCCCGAGCAGCCATGCACAGCACAGCTCTCCAGCAATGCTTCTTGGCTCCAGGCGAAGCCCAAATCCACAGATGCATCACCCAGGCAGGGCTGTGCAGCGGTCAGTGGGATGAGGTCCCCATGCCCGGTGCTACCAGCCCCCTGCAGGACAGGGAAAGGATGCACCTCAAAATATCTTGAAACCTTTTAGCAAGGTGAGCGTGGGCGCTTTTCTTTTGCTCTGAGCTCGCGACGACTTGACAGTGACCAGCTTGGCTTGGGCCACCGAGGGGATCTCCTTGAGGTTGACAGTAGACAGAGTGTTGATGGTGCAGCTGGCCAGGCCATGCCGGGTGGCCACGGCCAGGCAGGGCTGCTCCTCGGCGACGAAGAGAGGCCGCAGGGCTGGGCTGTGCTCTGCCTCGCGCCGCAGCTCCCGCACCACCTGGTGGAAGACGTGCTGCACCGCCGCGAAGTCCTGGCACGCCGACACCTCGTAGAACAGGCACCCAAACTTGGTGGCCAGGGACATCCCTTCGGCTTTGGTCACCTGCCTGAGGAGAGCGGAGGGGCAATGGGGTCTCACTTGGTGCATTTGGCCCATTAGAAAGGGCTGAGGGGTCCTCTTGTTTTGGCAACGAGGGGACAACAAAAAAAGGCAAGTGAGGGTGTAGGGTGTGGAGGTGATGACAGAACCCTTTAGAAAGGGGACAGGTCTTGAGAGCAGGACCACTGGTTGAGGACCAGTGGGATGAAGGCTCAGTTTGTCAAGGCCCCATAGCTACTCCAAGGCATCCCACCAAAGGCAGCAACGGGCTCCAAGCAAGGACGCTGCCCCATTGGCAGTGAGGCCGTTTCCTACTGGGAAAAGAAGGGCGGTTGGTACCTGTACTGCTCCATGTCCAGCTTGTTGCCCAGCAGCAGCACGGGGCTCTGGCGCTGGCAGCCCCGCGCATGCCGGGCGAGGACATCGAGGTAGCGGCCGCAGCCCTCAAAGCTCCTCCTGTTGTCGATGCTGTAGACAACGAGGAAGGCGTTGGCCCAGTGCAGGTAGCGCTCGCAGTTGATGGGGCCATCCTGAGGATGAGAGGAGAGGTGAGCGTGGCACCATGTCACTGTGGCACCGGCGCTGCCCGGCCCTCACCTGGTCGGCCGTGTCCATCACCTTCAGCAGCACGGGCTGCTGGTCCACCAGCTCCTCCGAGGCGTAGGTGTCCTCTGCAAGGCAAGGGTGGCTCTGAGGATGGGTTGTGCGACCCCAGTGCCAAGCAAAACCTGGCTGAGGTGTCATGGAAATAGCTCAGCCTCTGGTAAGGAGCATCCACTGCCGGGGGACACACTGTGCTCCTTCCAACAGCATCGTTTGGAAGGATGCAGTGGGGACAGGCCTGGCTGGGAGCTGCTTTTCTCCCACTGCATGCAGAAAGCAGGGTGGCATATTTATTCTTTCCACCTCCTGACTCCACTTGGCAAGAAATCGAGCTCCCACCCGCTCTGAACCACCCTAACCACAGCCTCCCTAACCTGACAGGGTTCATCTCCTTGAGGTTTAACCCCAGAATCTGCTGCATTTTTGCAAGTGGCGGCTGATTGCTTCCACCCCCACCATGGGCTCCAGTGTGGCCATCACCCCTGGCTCAGCCCTTATCTCAATGCCACGACCCAGTGAGACATGGCAGTCAAGGGCTCAGCACGGGGCTGAGCGCCGATCACTGGGACAAAAGCAGCAAGGCCTTGCTTTGGGAACCAGGAGGGCTCCTCCATCGGGGGATGCCTTCTGCCAGCTGCTCCTGGTGGGTGCCTTTCGGGGAGGTTTTGCTGTGGGAAGATGGCAGAGCCGCTGTGAAACTGAACAGAGGATTTTTCCTTCTTTCCTAGAAGCGATGAGGGGCTGGAGCCGGTTCCTGGACGGGCTCCATATCTCCCGAATGTCCCTGATAAATCATTTACAGCTCTTCACTGCAGACTGGAAACAAGCCCAGGAAAATAGTTATTAACTGCTCAAACAGGGTGGAAAAGAAACTGCCCAGAGCCACTCCACAGCACCACACGGTCCCCAGAGACACCTGCAGTGCAGCGCTCCTCATCTCAGCCAACATCCCAAAGAGGGATGGGGGGCCACACCTAAAGGAGGGCCACATCTGGAGAGGAGATGCAAGGAATGGCTGCTTCCTATGGGATGCGCCTGTTCTCACCGCTGTTTTGGGTTGAATTCGGCCCTTTTGACGTTTCTCATGTCTTTTGGGTTGGTTTGTTTGTTTATTTGATGGGTTTTGTTTCCTTGTTTTGCTTTTTGGTGCCGTGTTGTTTTTTTTTTCCCCCTTTTAGATGCCGTACTCGTGGGAAGTGTGGGAGATGGGAAGCAGAGCACACTGGGGACATGCAGGGAATGCTGGGGTGCAATAACTGGGGGGAGAAACGCCTTACCCAGGTTGGGGTCGTACTCGCTGATAAACCTCTTGGTGAGAAACTTCACTGTCAGCGCTGCAGGAGGTGGAGGAGGATGGCATGGTCACCCCACTGAACAGCATGCTGTCACCTTCCATCCCGCCACACTCCACCCGCAGGCAGCAGTGGGGCCATTCACCCCTCTCCCATCTGCCTTCCACCCCTTTTCCCAACCCAAAAGCAACTTTTTCCCCCCAAATCCTGCCCACTTGTCCCACGGCTTTCCCAGGATTGCCTCTTACAAAGTGATGTTGTTTTCTCCACTAAAAAGAAAGCCATTCTGGGCCAAACATCTACGATTTGATGATTTTTAGAGGCTTTCACCTCATGAGTGGGGCACAGAGATGGCCTCTGGGGACCCACTTTTGGTGACCTGTGTGCTTCCTGCAGGACTCATGCAGAACACAGCCCCATATCACACAGGTGGAAACACTGCTGCTACCGAAAAGGTCCACAAATAGCCATTAATATAAATATACATCCATGGGAATCACATGCAAAACAAGCAAACGCAGCCACAGCCGTGCACATGACCCAGGGGGCTCTGGGACGATTGCAGAGGAACTTTTTCCTTTCCTAAACACACAAAACCCCATTATAGCAGGGATGCTGCCCGGCACCGGGGCAGGGATGCTGCAGTGGTGCCAATGCTGGAAGCAGGAGCGGTGCAGGCACCCGCGGCTCCCGAAAAGCCATACAGCAGCTGCGGCTCAGCGCTGCTCCCACCTGACTTTCCGGCCCCCCGGCAGCCCAGGATGGCCACGTTGCACTCTGCCACGGGGCTCTGCGGCGGTCGCTCGGTGCTGACCCGCGGTTTGCCGAACATCGAGGCCATCCTCGGTCCTGCGAGAGAGCGAAGCAACGATGGGGGACCCCATTTCTACCCGCACCCCAGAAAGAGAGAAAGCAGCGTCCCACCTGCCGCTGGGATGTTGGGCGCTCGGAGCTCACGGCGGTGCCGGGGAGCAGCAGCCCCAGTGCCGCTCGCAATGAATGAGGCAGGAGGAGGCGAGCGCTGCTCCCGCCGCTCGGGTCGCAGCCAAACTCCTTGTAAGGCAAGCTGCCGCACGGGGCCGGGCTGGACACGCGTCCCCGGCCACCCTACTGCCGTCCCTCTGCCTGCTTTGCCCCCGCAGCAGATTTGCAGAGAGACAACGGCTGGTATCGGCTCTGCGATGATCCCATGCGCCTTGCTGGGACCCCCAATGGGCACGGACCCCCTAAATCCTCCCGTGCTGCTCAGCTGAGGACAGCGCGCTCAGTGCATCTCCCACCGGCACAGCGTGCTCCTATCTATCCCTGTGCGTTCCCTGCTCCTTCAATGCGTTTCAGCATGGATAACGTCTGGTGCCGGCAGGGTTGGTGGGGGGAAAACATGGGGAGAAAACAAAGAAGCAAGCACAAAACCACCCTTTCTGCATCCAAAACGCAAAGAGAGGGAGAGCAGAGCACGGGCAGTACTCACCGCTGCCGACCGCCCCGAGCCATCAGCGCGATGGGATCCAAACCCGGGGAGGAGGTGGGAGCTGGAGGCAGCGTTGTCATGGAGATCACAGCGGTTGGGATGGGGCACCCAGATGGGGCTGGACGCGGCCCCCGCGGTCCGTGCACAGCCCCAATCCGGGGTGCGGGCGGTATCAGCAGCCGGGAGCGTGTGGAGGATATTTTTAAACCCTCCCAAAATAGTCTGTGAACGTGAAAGTGCCGGCAAACAGTTCCAAGGGGGGACGGGATCAACCCCCTGTGGAAGGAAGGACAGCCATTTGGGGACTGATTTCGGGGGGATGGCCACACGCCCCTGCCCTACACCCCCCTTTGGATGCAGGTGGAGAGTGATCCAAAGCAATCTGAAAGAAATCTTACTTTTTTCCTTAAGCCATTACACATCTGGGAAAGCTCTGCTTCCCAGCACAGGGCGCAGCAAAGCTTCACACTTCTCCTGCACAGGGACCTTTTGGGGAGCACAGCACTGTCACCACTGGTGCCCCACTGCTGCTCTGACACTGCGCCAGCACCGTCCCCACAGAGCTCACACCGTGTTACTGACCGTTTACCAGGGATGGATTCTGCTCCCATTGCTCCTCCTGGGGGCAGCCCCAGGAAGAACCCACAAAGGAGGGCTCTCCTGCCCTGGGCCATGCAAAGCTCCTTTCCCACGGCTGAGCTGAAGGCATGAAGATTTGCTCACATCCGTCCCCCACTGCGGCCGTACAACTAAGGGAAAAAATAGACAAAAAATAGCACGGCCCTGTGCTCTTCCCAGCAGGGAGGGCAGCCACGTGCAGCCCGCCCTGTGATGCCCATGGCCTGTGGTGGGAAATGAGGAGGATGCCCCAACCTGCCGGCAGCTCCACAGCCACCAGGGAACCTCGCTGTGCTTTGGGACGGAGCTGTGGAAGGGGCACGCTGCCCGGGGGCCGATCACGAGCCGGGCTATCTTTAGCTGAAAGGATTTAGGTTACAGCAAGCAGCCGCCGGGACGCAGGGCAGACACCCGAGGGTGGGCACAGCGAGGAGGGGCTGCCCCAGAGCCGGGCAGGATGAGCCCGGAGGACGAAGGTGCTCGGGTAGGGCCTCCGGGAAGGGTGCGGATCCGTGTGGAGGAGCAGTGCTTCTCGGTGGAGAAGGCGTTGCTGGTGGAGAGCAGCGAGTACTTCCGTGCCCTGTTCCGCTCGGGCATGAGGGAGAGCACGCAGGAGGAGATCAGGCTGGGCGGGCTGAGCGCTGCTGGATTCCTGGCCATGCTGCGCGTGCTGGCGGGCGAGCGGCCCGTGCTGGGCGGTGAGGAGACCTTCCGGGCGGTGGAGTGCGCGGCCTTCCTGCAGGTGAAGCCCTTGGCCAAGTACCTCATCCACTCCATCGACTCCGACAACTGCCTCCTGCTGTACCACACCGCCGCCGTGTTCGGCCTCCTGGACCTCTTCCATTGTGCTGCGCTCTACATCCGGGACAGCTACGCCGAGCTGGAGGAGCACCTGGGCTGCCTGCCCGCCGACCTGCTGGCCTACGTGCAGGCCCTGCTTCCCAGCACCTTCGTGGCGGTGGGAGCCCACACGCCCACCTTTGAGTTCCTGGAGGATCTCTCCAGGACCATCTGCTACCTGGACGAGGAGAGCAACACATGGAGGACGCTCTCCTGCCTGCCGCTGAGCGCCAGCACGTTCCTAGCCGGCATGGCGACCATGGACAACAAGATTTACATTGTGGGCGGCGTCTATGGGGCCAGCAAGCAGGTGGTGGAGAGCAGCTTCTGCTACGACGCCGACAGCGACGCCTGGAGCGAGTTCCCCAGCCCACACCAGCTGCGCTACGACGTCCGGCTGGTGGGCCACGAGGGCTGCCTTTATGCTATCGGCGGGGAGTACGAGAAGATCTCGCTCAAGTCTGTGGAGAGATACGACGTGGCCTCCAACACTTGGACATTCATCTCCGATCTGCCGCAGCCGAGCTCGGCTGCACCCTGCGCCCAGGCCATGGGGCAGATCTTCGTCTGCTTGTGGAAGCCATTGGACACCACCGTCATCTATGAGTATGAGAGCCAGCAGGACGCGTGGCTTCCCGTCACCGAGCTCAAGCGGCACCAGAGCTACGGGCACTGCATGGTGGCCCACCGCGACAACCTCTACGTCATGCGCAACGGCCCCGGAGACGACTTCCTGCGCTGCGTCATCGACTGCTTCAACCTGAGGTCACGGCAGTGGACGGCTCTGCCCGGGCAGTTCATGAACAGCAAAGGAGCTCTCTTCACCGCCACCATCAAGGGTGACACGGTGTACACTGTCAACAAGATGCTGACGCAGCTCTACTCGGTGGAGGAGGAGGCCTGGAGGGTCAAGAAGGAGCGGGCGGGCTTCCCGCGCAGCGGCTCCCTGCAGACCTTCCTGCTGCGGCTGCCCCGGCGCAATCACGACATCGCCACGTAGCCGGCCCCATCCCACCTTGGGGTGCTCTCCTTGCATATGGCCTCAGCTCTGTGCACAGCTCCCTGGGCTCCTCTCCTCCTCTTGCCAAGGATACTCCACGTTGGACCCAGAGGTGACGAGGCACCCTGTGATGGGGGAAGGGGTGACAGGAACTGCTGGCACAGCAGCCTCGTGCAAAGTGCCACGACGGGCGAGCCCGCGGCACACAGGGCTTTGTGGCTTCTGCAGAGAACAGGCTCTAGAGAGATGCAGACATTTATTTGGACTGCACGCTGAAGGTGTGCAGCATAAAACCTGCTCTCTGCTCTAATGGTTCCTTATATCCTGGAATTAAAAGGAAAGCTGTAGAAAGCCCTGTGTCATTACTCTTCTCTTGTGTTCTTTTCTCCTCCTGAAGGAGAATGTCTCCTAACAGAGGACCCACATCAAGACCCGTTCCTGCCTGCTGAGTGTTTTCAGCTGCAGCAGTGTTCGGAGCTGCTCACACAGTTCCCAAGCAGTCCCGGGCTCCCCAGGGAGACATCGCCTGGGATGAGGGGACAAAGGGACACAGGAGGGGGGTGGAGGGCAAAGACCGCGAGGAGTTTATCTCCAAAAACCCACACAGGAGAAAGCTGTGGTCCAGAGTGAGCAGGTTCCTCCCTGGGAACCATCCATCATGCCCATGAGCGCAATAAACAGCCACCGTCTTCTCCAAACCTGCCTGCCAGCTCCCAGCAGACCCAAATGCTCTCATTTGATCCAAAGGATATTTTTAGGAGATGGCAAACTCGCAAAAATGAAAGGAGAGGAGAGAGCATCAGCAGGGCTGCACTCAGATTGTGCAGATGCCAGGCTGCCAAGTCTGCTTTGTGAACGGAGCTCTGCAGCCAGATAAGCTGTCTGCTGGGACTCAGCCCCATGATGCTGAAGGTTGTCCTCAGCACAGCTCCAGGCTCTGCCCAGGGGATGACTGGAGAAGGGCTGCCCTCATCCCCCTTGCCGAATCATAGAGTCATTACTGTTGGAAAAGACCTCTAAGATCATCATGTCCAGCCATCAGCCCATCCCCACCACGCCCACTGTGTCCCTAAATGCTTCATGCTTCTGTCCCTCAAGGGAGATGGGAACCAGGAGTCAACCTGGCAGCCACGCACTCATCAGAGCCCAAATAATGCCCAGCTGGGCTCCCATGCCCCAGGCTAGCTGTGCTCCTCGCATGAGGAGGGAAGGGAATACCAGCTGGATGCCTCAAATACTTCCACTGCTGACCCTCGCCAAGTTCTCAGCATTTTCAAAACAGAGAGCATTAGAGAAGAAAAAAATCAACCAAAACAGACAAGAAAACCCAAGCTTGCATCCATGACCTTATTTAAAACACAGTATGTGCCTGTCCCCATTTGCCCTCCAACCCTGCTTGGGACAGGGAAGTGGCAACCACAGCCCCAGCATCAACCCCAGTCCCAGGAGCAGCCCCACACTGGCTCCATCTGACAGGGTTGTGTTTTCCATCCGCCTCCACTGGCGCTGCTGTAACCTCATGCCTTACCCAGGGAGGAATTCAGAGGAGCTGCTGGCGCTCGCCAGGCACACTGCGAGCATAAATCCCATCAAGTCCAATCCACGCTCCCTTCTCAGATGAAGCCCATTAACATTTTATGCTGTCTTCTCCTAACTGGAAGCAGCACTCTGTTTTAAACCATGCTAAGTTGAACAACCGGCGTAAGGACTCCATCAATATAAAGTTCAAATAATTCTGTTACTCAAGTATTTATGGCGAGCTGCTGTAAGTAACCCAAGGCCATTTGACTTGGCAGCCTCTCCCATTCCTTCCAGCTCCAAAACCACCAAGCAGAAAAACTTCTACCCCACCTTTGTGCATCGTTTTTTCAACAGTTTGCAAGTTGGCAAAGGTAACACCGCCAAAAATAGATTATTATGGTAGAACCACTGAAAAATCTGGTCTTAGAATCATAGAGTCAATCACCTAGGCTGGAAAAGACCTCCAAGATCATCCAGTCCAACTGTCCCCCTACCACCAACATCTCCCCACTAACTCATGAACCTCAGTACAACATCTAAATGCTTCTTGAACACCTCCAGGGATGATGACTCCACCACTGCCCTGGGCAGCCCATTCCAGTGCCTGACCACTCCTAGAGAGATTTTTGCTAATGTCCAACCTGAAAGGAGGAGATAATGTAGCCCAAACTGCAAAGAAAATAGATTTGACTTCTACTTGGCGGTCTCGGCAGGCGCTGTTGAGTGTGGCATGGATGTTCCAAGAGAGGAGTAACGTGGTTGCATCTGTGTCACCAGACCGTGGTACAGACTGTAACGCAGAGGGAAGCAGAAAGATGTTGTTTGTACCTCTGCAAGTGGGGGAAAAAGTATGAGCCAGCATGAGAAGCTGTTCAGCCTTTGCACAGTGAGTGGGCAGGGTGCTGCAGATCTGTTGCAGCAGGATTCAGCGCTTGGTGTTACGCACTGCCGGCATGAGAACACCACCATTATCTGCCCCTTCCAGTCTTAATGGTGTCCACTCTGCCAAAGACCATAGTTAGACCCAGTGCAGTCTATCTAATCATAGCTCAACCTTTTGCAAGTTTCTGTTGAAGGTGACATCATCTTGGCAAGGCTGAACGTAACAAAAAGCTGCCTGTAGAATGGACTTGCCTTATAAGGACCATATCAAAAATAAAAACTTGTATAACCAAGCAAGAGCTCTGCAGGAAAAGCAGAAACGGGTGCTCCAAGAAGAGCCTGGGAGCTTGCTGTGCAGATGACCTCAGAAAGCACTGTGCTTTGGAGAAGGATGACTGCCCCATGTTGACTGATTTGGTGCAAGGAGGTCAGGACAAAGCCACTCCCCACGTTGGCACAGCATGGATGGATGGATCTGGATCTGCCCTGCCACTCCATGCCCCACTGACTGCAGTTTCCCTGTCCTTTTTACTAGCAGAATACCTCCCTTGGCCATCCAAGGGAGATGTTGACCACAACACTGGTGTAAAACACCCACTCTCGGGTATGGAAAGGTCAGTTCCAGGCCAAAATCTGGATGCATGTTGTCACTGTCACTCTGGCACTTGGCAAGGATGGAGGCAGCCATAGAGAGCTACACCTGTGTGCCTGTGTTTGGGAGCTGGTCAGAGAGATGTGGAGCAGGAACACGCTGCATTAACTCAGCTGAACTGTATTGGGCAAGGAGACCACTTGGAAGGACACCGTGGAAAATGGTAACTACTTTGGGACTCATTAGGAGTTGTCTCTGCTAGGTTGAGCCAGTTGGCATTTCCATAGGAAAAGACATTAATACTTTTTATAAAAACCCCTCCGAGCATCTTTACTCAGATAAACTACATCTGTAGCTAACAGACAGGGGAACAATGTACTTCTATGTGAGAACATCATCCATCGCTGCACTGCCAAAACAAGAGCAATGTCCTGTAAGGAATCTGAATCTCCTGTTGTCCATACTTAGCCGAGCACAGGAACTCCCCCAGGCACCCAGATGTGCTAAACCTGGTTTTGAGCCATTGTCTTTGCCATTTAGAGAAGCACCCTTTGAATTTGCTTAATAAAAGGCAGAGGCAAGCCAGTCATCCATCTCTCTGTTCAGATTTCATGACAATTCCTGAGCGTAAAGCCTTGCATAAGATATTTTTCACTGTCCTGGGTCAAAAGTCACACATTAGCTACCTAGAGCAACCTCAGCCCATGTTCTCTCTGTGCCCTTCGTTGAGCTGTGCATTTTTGTCAAGTTTCTAGTTCACAAAGAGACGCTAACATCTAGATTTCCCGTCACAACATTCAAATGTCATAAAGTCTGCTGAGAATCTTCCCAAGAAAGGAGGAACCAATGTTCCTGCAAAGAGCACCCAGCTTTTGTAAAAACAATCAATTCAGGTGACTTATATCACAGTGTAAGAATCTGCACGTGGCTGTATTTGTAAATGTGGCCTAGGAAGGGATGGGCAGCAGGATGCATCCTGCTTTGTAGGTGCTGGGCACATTCACTGCCTCTTCATCATGAGCTCTTCCAGCGCCTTGTCCCTCTGGTTCCCACAGAGCAGGAGGACTTCTTTGATTTCATTTTGCTGGAAACCCATGTCGTTGAACTGAGCTAACAAGTGCAGGAATTCAGCTGCCTGGAAGGAGGGAAAGGAGCGATGTCAGCGCCGGGCTGTAAGGACGCATTCACCGCGACATTTCAGCAGCAGGGCCAGATAATCCCACAGGGTTGTATTACTGCTGAAGGGCACCGTGGACCCCGCTGCCAGGACAAGTGCTAACTTTTAACAGTCTTTATGCACCAAGTCTTTCTTTAGTTAATAAAGTCAGCCTCTAACTTCACTTATTCATCATGAAATTGAATACGAGTTCCACTCACATGTTTGCACTGTGGAACTGTCACCCCGGACTGGGGAATTTCTGTCATTCATTGCTCCTATTTCTCCCTTTGCTCAGGGTGAGCCTCACCACCACAGCTCACCCAGAGTCCTGTTCTCAGCAAACCACACCTCCTGCACCGAAGCAGCACCATCCCAGTGCTGAGCCTTGCACAGGAGGCGAGCAGGATCCTACACCTCCCAAACGGTGGGACTGCTGATGGGGACCAGAGCACGGGACAGCACCACTGTCCTGCTATGGGATGAGGAGACAGGAAGCCAAGAGGCGGCAAGCATGCCTGGGGCTGGGATTCCCACACCAGAGTGTCATGCTCACATAGCACGAGGTGAGTCCGTCCTCTGCAAGTCCTTATGGCCACACAATGCTCTCCTGGGGCTCTGAGCCCAATCCGCAGTCTATGTGGGTTCACTTCTTGCAGAGCGATGGGACCTGACCTGGCAGGAGGTGGCACGAGGAGGCAGGGGGGTGGAAATGGACAAAACACAAAAGGCTGCGCTGTGCTGCTGACCTTTTTCTCCGAGTACTGGAACATTTCCATGGCCTCCTCCACCTGCCCCTCCTCATAGCCCTGCTTCAGCAGCCGGTCACAGGCGCGGAGGTAGCCCAGAAACTGGAAGAGAGAACAGTGAGGGTTAATGCATCCTGATCCCAAATGGGAATGAGAATAACACGAAGGGAGGATGGGAGTAGAGCAACACCTGAACTGTCTGAACACAAAGCAAGGATCTTCGAGTTGTTTTCTCATTTGGCAGAGACCATCTGGGTGAAATGCCAGGTGCCTGCTGATCTCTAACCCTATCCAGGCCAACATCCCTTTGATGCTCCCAGCCCCAGGCCCCTGCTGGACCTGTGCGAACTCCCCACATCCCCAGGAGAGGCCTGTGTGCTCTCATTACCAAAAGTAAACAGTTATTTTTGGCTTTCCTCATTGTTCTTGGAGTGCTGACAGCACAATTCCCAGCGGTCTCCTTGGAATACCACGAGAATCATTCACTGTCCAAAAAACTCATGTGACAGACCATAATAAATGGGCTGTACCATAGCAGAAAAAAAAGAAGATATGAAAATGTCCACCTGGAGAAAAGCTGAGCAGCCCAGAGGTGTCTGCAAAGCTGTGCCTGCCCCATCTGAAGAGAAGCTGATCTGTATCTCCCAGCTCTGCCAGCACTCGGACCTCCGCCCTCCTCAGCTCTGCTGTAGCCCAAGGAGGGGGATGCAAAGACCACAAAACACATGAAACAGCCAAAAACAGTCCCTCAAATGTTAGCTCTCCTGTAGCAGAGCAAGAATTGTACAAAATGTCAGCCCTAAGGAGCAGCTTATTAATACAAACATGAGTTACGCTCTGCTTGCTGGCATTCAGAACCTGGCTTGATTTTCCTCATTATCTTTCTAACTAAAACCCGAGATCATTGCTGTATTTTCTTGCTACAAGGAGTCACTCCCCATGTTCCAGGCAGAACGCAGCCAGTCTTGGCAATCTGACATGCTGCTCAAGCCACGCACAAAATCTGTGCTGCTGTCAGCTACATGATTTTTATCATTAAAAAAAACCCGAAAACTATCCTCAAGACTAAACAAAACCAGTTTTTTATGTACTTTGACCTACTTACTTCCTGGGTTCAGCAAAGGGCTGACTGTTCACTGGGGAAGGAGGAGGAGCTGATCCTGCTCACCCTACAAGGAGTGTGGTCAAGGGCCAGCAAGCTCAGTGCTTGGTTTTCCAGCACAGAAATGCAATGGGAAATCCAATAGGCATACAGGTTGCAGTTCTACACACCCAAAACATTGCTGCAGATGTCCCCACTCTCACACCCATGTGCTGGCTGTTTGAGGCTGTTTGCTTGCTTACAAAGTTTGCTATCTCCCCAAGGTGGACTCTGCCAGCTTTATTTGATACAGTAAAGAAATGGAACGATTTTTAGCTACCGTCTGGTGCCACAATCAATCTTCATGTCTGAAGCTGTCACAGTCACATGCAGAAAGCTTACGTGACACTGGCAAGCAATGAAGAGCATCCACAGCTCTTGTTTTTAACATGAAACATATTTTCCAGGAAGATCTTAGCCTAATTTGGTAGTTTTATGCTTGTAGCAATTGCACGCACAGCTAGGCCTTACATTTCATCTTGGATGCATGGGGCACAAAAGGGAAAAATGGGAACGTTTGGTGGAGAAGACCCTGTATTTTGGCACATGAGGCAGATCCTGTATTTTGGCACATTAATCATCTCTTCGGGAGAATGGCAGTGTTCAGTGACCCAAAAGCAAAGCTTGTGTGGAGTCATTGGTTGCTCCAGTTTGGGAATTTGGGGTTTTGGAGAACCAGATAAATCTCTGGGATATTCTTACGGTCCTGGGCTGACAGGATGAGCCATGAAAATGGTCACACGAACCTAACAGCTGAGACAAAATGATGTGCAGAAAATTTCCATATACGGGGGCAAGATTTGCACTAGAAGGACACTGTGCTCCATGCAACAGATGGGGAAGATAGCAGCACCCGCCTGTTACTGCTCGCTGACAAGCGGAGCGCTCACTGAGATTGTATTACAGCAAAACTGCTGGCATTTGATCCAACAGAAAACCCTGCTCTGATACCAAAGCAAGAAAAATAGCTTCATTTTCCCCAACGCAGAACAAGGGAGACCACCTTGAGCAAAAGGGAGTCGCTCGCATCACTGTGAAATATGAATTTTGTGCCCCCACAGCATCCCACACCATTTCAGCTGTGTCAGCTCCACCAACCTGCCCCAGGCTTTGCCTCCCGGTCTTCTGAAGAGTGAGGATGGCTTTGCGGGCCGGGTAGCCCAAGGCAATGACGGGCTCGATGAGGTCGCGCTCCTCCTGGCTCAGCGCTGACAGCAGGTCAGCCGCTGAATCTGGCTTGGCTTTGCGGGATGCCAGCGGCCGTGCTGGGGGCAGGCAGGAGTAGGGGCTGAGGGACTGCAAGACAAGACAGGAGCTCATGTTAGCCAGCAGGGATGGATGGAGCCGCCACTGTGGCGCCCATGTGCAATGGTCAGTCCCCAAACCGACAGGTTACGGCAGGCACTGGAGAGCATTACCCTGGCACTCATCACTGAACATCGTTGCCCAGTTTTGGCTCAGCTTTGCTGGCTGGAGCCCAGGACTGGGTGCTTTGCCCTCTCCCTCCACCTCTCCCCCAACACGAGGCAGCTCACCGGGACTGTAGGCTTGTGCTTGCGAATGGGTGGCATGGAGGCATCGGGTGCCGCGGGGGGAGCTGGCACCAGGCTTCCCATGTGAGACCCCTCTGCTGCCGGTCCAAACTTGAGGCTCCTGTTGCTTCGGCAGTGCTGGGGGAGCGCTGGTGGCATGAGAGCCCCTTTGCTTTCGGCTGTGGCTCTGTTTAAAGGATGCACCAACGCAGCCAGCTTCCTCCTGGCTGCTTCCAGCTCATTCTTCATGTTGTTGAACAAAACCATGGACCTCCTCTGCTTGCCTGGATCTGGGCTCGTGGCCTTGAAGCCATTCTCTGAAGGAGGCTCCAGCAAGCCAGGCGACGTCTTTGGTCTGATCTGCTGCAAGCCATGCTGGTTTCTCCTCCGGAGAATGTGCTCCTCCCTGTCATTTTCCTCCCAGGAGGTGGAGGAATACTCATCGTCCTCCCAGCACTCATCGTCCTCTGAGCACACAGCCTCACTCTCTGTGTCGGAGGCTCTTCCCCGGCCCCGCTCGGCACTGAGGCTGATGCTGCGCCGCACCGTGCCCTCCTTCACTCTGCTCACTGCTGTCTCCTTGCCCTCAGCGGCGTCCACCAGCAGCAGCCAGCATGGTGGGGCCGTGGGGATGGCGTCGGTGTGGAGCTGCTGCCAGGGGGTTTGGTGCTGAGAAGCGGCCTCCAGCCAGTACTGCACCTTTCGCTCCAGTGAGAAGTCGTGCTGTGGGAGCGCAGTAAGAGCGAGTGAGAAACACCAGTATTTACACCTTTGTGGAAGGGAAGCTACAAAGATGGGGAAAGGCCTGGGGGCAAAACGTGTGAGAAGGGGCTGAGGGCCCTGGGTTTGTTCAGCCCAGAGGGGGCTGAGGGGAGGCCCTGAGCTGACAGCGCTCACACTGGGACATCGCTCTCAAACACTGGGTTTGGGTTTGAGCGGAAGTGTGACATGGGTTGGGCTTAATGATCCTTGTGGGTCCCTTCCTACTCTGGTTATTTTGCAATTCTCTGATCCTACAATTCTATATTACTAACGTCTCATTGCCACTGGGCACCAGGGCTGTGGGGTTGGACACTCCCAGCCTTATCCCTATGGGATTTCACTTGGAAACACCCGTTTGCAGCATTATTACTGCTTTCAGTTGTATTTGGAATCCTGTTGGGATGCTTTAAGCACGGAAGGGTTCTGTGTCACCTTGGCTGCTGGGGAGAGGGAAGAGCAGATTGCAGAGAAGTAGCTCCCAAGTAACCAGAGCAGAGCACAGGGGTCACAAACTGCCTGCCTTAGAATCCTTAGAACATGTTTTTGACTTACATCTGAGTGCTTTCCGGGAACAAACAAGCCGTGCATGTCCCAGAGCTCTCCAAACAAGGTCTCCTGGCAGGCAGGCACATTCACAGCACGGGAATGTTGCTGTTACTGTGCTATGCCTGACCCAAACCAAGCTCCCCAAGGAGAACAACACTGCATGCTTCCAGAACCATGCACAGATGTGTCCCCATCCACAGCGAGCCAGAGTCCCTGGGGTGGGACACCAGGGACACGCTCAGCTCAGTGACGCCTCCACTTGCAAACCATCACCTGCATGGAATCCTGCCCACAAACATTTCCTTTGAGGAATCCCAAATAAACACCTCAAAAATTGAGCATGCTTTAGTGATGGCGCACAAGTCACAGGACGAGGAAGGCCTGGGGTGCTCAGGGGGATTTCCCCTGCACAGTGCACTGACCCCATCTATGGGTGAGACTGCTGAAGCTTGTTCAGCAGAACAGCAGGAGCAGCAAGAAAGCGAGCAGCTCCATTTTCTAGAGCCTGAACTAGAGCCTGAAATTTGCACTTTTCAAGGACAAATCAAACTTTCCATCTAAGAAAGACCATCTTGCAACCCTCCACCCATCCCGTCCTCAAGCTTGGACACGTTTAACAAAACCCAACCCCAACCAAAACCCTTCCTCTCACCCATCCTCACAACACCCTCACCTCATGTTCCTACTGAAAACAACCAACAGGCAGGACACCAACATGGAGAAGAGATTTTCCTTCCCTCTCCTTCCCCAAGAAGAGCATCCCTTTGAGCATCCTACCAGGCTTGGAAGAGGCCAACCCACCATGGTGCTCATGAGGATGTCGGTGCAGTCAGGGAGCTCTATGGCTGGTGCCTTGATGAAGGTGCTTTCTCCTGCAGAGTTGCCCTCGAGGCTCACAGCAGTCCGGAAGGGCACTCCGTCCAGGTAGCTCATTGTCCCTGCCTGATTGCTCACTGCCTAAAGAAGGGATGGAAAAAAAAAAAAAGTAACAGGAAAGATTGGCAGCTGCACAGGAGTGATGCTGTAACCGCAGCAAATTTGGGTGGAAGGAGAGAAAAATAAGCTATTTTTTGCCATCTTTTGAGAGAGGTAAGCCCTGCTGTGTGCAATGTCCAGATCTGTAAAGTGCTATTTACTAGAAGGCAGGAAAATTTGTAAGAACTAATCACTGCCATTCAGAGCTTGAGTCAACACAGCCCAACCAAGATTACGACCTTCAGCAGGGATCTTCAGCACTTTCTTCCTCCAGTTCCACCCCTGCTGACACCTCTGTGCATAACCCCACTGCTTTCCTCCCCTTGCTCCCACTCAGCAGGCCCGCCCTCTGCCACGCTCCCCTTTTCCCCCAGCTAAATGCAGAGCTACAGAACCACCTGAGCTTTATTCCTATTCTCTACTCGGGTACTTTTTTGCTGAGGTTCACAGTGGTGCACAGTGCAGCATTTGAGGGATGTTGAACGAACCATCTGAAAAAGGTGAACCAGCTCATTTTAAGCACAGTGATGTTTCTTAGAGTAGGAATAGCAGGGAGAGAAAGAATTCAAATGAACAGAATGGAAAATATTACTGCCATCACGTAGCCATGAGTTCTGTACTAATGACTCAGTTTAGTGAAAAATAAGCCACAACTTGCTGCATTAAGTCCCGAGTCCCCACATCCCAGTGATGACAACATGCAGAATAGTTTCCTTTGTTGACTGGCAAAGTCTGATGGCAAGTCTTCCTCTGACTTCTGGAATCTGCAACTGGTGCCTGCTTGTCCCAAGGCAACGCTTGCCAGCCACGCTCACTGTGCAATATGTAGTTTATGGGACATCTGTATACACTAAAGTGCTTTTACCACTTTTTTTTCCCCCTCTGAGAAAAGCATGGCTTCTATAGCAATAGATAAACACTCCACAAAGCAAAAATAAGCAGCAGAATGTATACGGGCCTGAGAACGCAGCATGAAAATAAAGGTCTACAACAGGAAACATTTGAGAAAGGCAGCTCCTCACCTTGGGAAAGGAACGCAACCAACCACCTGTAGCCTGCAAATGAAGAGTGACACGCAGCTGGGCTCAGCAGCACCCACCCCAGGCTGACACCAGGATCCCTTAATCCATCTGCAGCCCTGGACCAGCTCTGCCCCACACACACAGCCACTGACACACAGCGTGCAACGTGCCAGGGCCATCTGCTGCCTGGCTGAGAGTGCTTACCATCCACGTGAGTGCCAACAAAGAACAGCACAACGTCAGCAGAGCTGCCTTGTCCCCATTTTCTCCATCTCCTTAACATCCCCACGCAGCCCCCGCCTGCAAGGCACAGCCCCTTCCTGCAGGAATTCACCTCCCAGCAGCTGTGTGCACCCAGCAGTTCCAGCAGGGTGTATTTTGCTGGCAGCACCCACAACAGTTCCCAAAGACCCAGGCTTGTTTGCAAAAAGCTGTGACACCCCTGGGTGCCCCGCATAAACACAGCCCAGGGAAAAGCCCCTTGTAACCAACTCCATCTCCTTTCACCACGAGCTTCCCCATCTGGCTGACCAAAGGACACCTGCTGATTCACCTGCTCAGATTTCAGCAATTTCATTGCTTCTCACAGCATCCATCCGGATAGCAGTAAGAAATCCCTTGCTATACTCAAATCTGAATCTTAGGACTGAATCTGAATACACGTGGCTCTTGTTTTTAAGAATCAACACTCAAACACACTCATTTTGCGTTTGAGATTTCAAACATTCCTCTTCCTTCAACTGTGACTTCATCCTTTCTCACTCAAAACATAAAACATTTTAAAGCAGACATCATTAGAAAAGTGCAAATAAACCACACCAAGCTCGTGAGATTGAAATATGCCTGCATGTACACCATATGCACCAGCAGTTGCAATTCTTATCAGTAATATCAAGTTATCCTTACCGTTAGATGAAATCAAGTAGCTCCTCTCACATGGCAGGGAGAGCAGTTGCTTTTATACCACCTCCTCATCCACTGCTTAAATCTTTAAATCCATGCATCTGACGAGCATCTGACTTTGACAATATCAAGATTATAGTAGCTTAAGTGGTTAGCCTGCCTCAGCAGAGCACTGATGGGATAAGGAGCCTAGCTGCTGAAGCAGAGCATCCTTTGGCCATTTATCTTATTAGATGCAAAGTGTTGATTTTGAAATAGCTTTCATGCTACTTTGCCAGGAAAAACTCCCAGGATGTGACCTACCTATAAAGACTTGGAATGACACGGAGCTAAAAGACACAGCAGGGAAGGGGGGGACGTATGGACACACACATCAGAACTCTTTGGAGGACTTTGGTGAACTGCATTTTGTGGTGCTATGGCTTGGAGCAAGAACTGCCAACTTCTGCACCCAAACTCCAGCTCTATCATAGATTACTGCTTAGTATGCTCTTACTAACAGAAATCAACAGGAGCCTTCAGCCAAGGAACCACTGACATAAGCCCAGCGTTAAGAGCTGAGTTTATCAGCTGCGAGTAGGCAATCATGTGCTGCCTCCTCCAGGAATTACACAATGGTGATGCTAAGAGATAAGGAATGGGAAAGATCACATCTATTCCCACGCCTTCGGGCTAAGTGAGAACATGACTGCAGCTCTGGAAAGAAGCCAAGGCAACCTGCGTAGGCAAGCAAAGCCCCAAAACCAGATGGGGCCATCGCTGCTTTAAGCAAACAGTCCTGAGGATGGGAGGATTTGAAGCCATAAGCCTCTGTCATCTTGTAGGAGGGAGCAGTTTTCCTGCACACAAACCTTTTGCTGACAGCTCTCCCAATAGCTCGGGTCACACTGATGCCAAGCAGTAGAACAAATCCGTTGGAGCAAAAATGTTTCAAAAACAATCCAATTTTCTCTGCTTATTCTGTGCAGAAACCAACTTACTAAACAGAGCTGCACTTTTAACCAAATGCTATATAAACAATCTGTTCCTGCAGGAAAATAGCTTTGAAGGCAGAAACAATTGAAGTAGGTTAAACTTCAGGTTTTATTACCTTTTTCCCCAGCAGGCTTATTTGTCAGATTTATAGATATTCACAAGGCTGGCCGACCTCTTTCAACACAACAGGGAATTTTTTCCATGCTGTGGTACCCGTTTTAGTCCAGCAAAGCAAAATGTCAGCAGCTGCTTTAATCAAGCTCCCAAATCGATGTCTTGTTTGTACTTAGAATTTGTTTAAAATCGTAATAGCTCGTTTCTATGCACAAAAACACAGAAACTATTTTGAAAGCAATGCCTGACGTGCTTCATTTGAGAAGAAAAACACATCCAGTAATGAGCTCTTTGAAAAAAAAAAACAACAAAATTCTGGAGATTTCAGCTTGTAAAGTCACTAAGAATAGTTCATGAATCCTGGCACCAATCACCTTGTCAGCAGCATTACTTTATTGAGATTGCGATTCGTTAATAAAAACACACAGCAGCACTGTAATTCTGTGCCACGAAAGGGCTGACAGCTTTGCAGTCACTCAGGTATCACCTCGCAGAGTTAGAAAGCAAAGCCATCCCTTACAGTTCTCTTCAAGGCATTCCAGACCCTGGCTGCAGGCTTCCTGAGCACAGACAGGACCCAGGCGCCACCTCCTCGCTGGATCCTCTCACACTGACACCACCAATGACAACCAAACACTCCTCCAGTGCAAAAACAATTTATTTCTGAGTTATCTGACAGCAGTGGCCCAAGTGTCATTCGTGGGGAGAGTCGGAAGAACCCATCCAGGAGGGATGCAGCTTCCTTCGGGGTGATCAGCGGGCACCAGGTACTGATCCCATTCGTGCCTTCAATACAGAAAGGTGTTTGAGAGGACAGCCAGCACAAGAGAGCTTCAGCAGGAGGATTACATGCACACATACACATTTCTTCACACCAACCAATACACAAGACTCTAAACCATGCTCTGTGTTTAAATGACAAAGAAGGAAACGAAAGAATTCATCACATAGCCATGCATGGAAGCGAATGAACTGTATTTTGCAACCTCAACAAACAATGCTTGACACCTCAGACACCAAAACAAAGCTTTTACCTGATCTGGATTAGAGCTGCTACAGAAAGCTCAGCCTGTAAGTAATATTCCCTGAAAGGCTGCAGCAGATCAGCAAGAGGAAATTCATCTGTTAAAACACAATAAACCAGAGAGACCTCTGATGCCACTGTCAGAGAAGTTCCAAATTTGCTGACTGGTTTGCTGCTCCCCAGCTTAACTTGAAATCCTTACCTATTATTACGTGTTTTGCACATCAACTCACCCTCACCAAAGCTGTCAGAGCGAAGCTCAGACTACCAAAACTTTTTCCTGTCTCCATCCTCTGCACCAAGGGAACATATGGACAGTGAATTGTTCCCCATTACACAAACTGCACTAACCAAACCATCAGAATAAAGCACCTGCTGCATGCTGGAAGTCTTCAATCCATTCAGTTTATTCCCACTCCAGCTTAACCTACAGTCTTTTTTGTGCCTTTATTTTAAACCCAACGCCTAAGAGCTGAAAGCAGTATATAGAGTGAGGTCTGACAGGATTTACCTGGATCCCCAAACAGCTTGGAATCAATGTCACGTTTCTGCTGTAGAAGCTTTTCTCTTTCCTTCTTCTGTTTCTTTTCCATTTCTCTCTTCCTTTCCTCCTCCTGTTCTCCTTCCAACATCACTCTCAGTGCTCTCTCCTCAGCTTCATACAGCTCTGTGCGATTTTTGAGCAATGCTCTGAGACTTTCCACCTGATTTTCAAAGGCTTCATCTGCTGAGGGAGGTGGACAAACACCTAAAGAGAAGGAGAATTAACATAATGTTTCCAAATTCAGAAGGAGCTCTGTTATGAGACTTAAAAGCAGAGCTGGCAAAGTCTCAGAGAAATATAAGCTAACAATTATCTCAACAGAAGGTTTTTTTCTGGTAAGGAAGTTTAGAAACATAGGAACACAGTCACTGCATCCAATTTGCTTCTCAGGATTTTATAGCTGTTCTTGCAGAACCACATAACGACAAGAACTAATAAAGAAACAGCTTCTTCAAAGTGCACCTCCTGTTATTTCCTGTGTGCACCATTAGAAAAGTTAGGAAAAATTCTCCTAATTCACCTTTCCTGGCAGCAGCCTCTTTCCTCAGTTTCCGAAGCTTTTCTAAGGAGCCCAGGATGTCCACCATTCTCTTTGTGTCTGCCTGCTTCTTCCTGACTTCAGATAAGACGCTGTCTGCAGCAGCCTTAAGCTCCCGCTCCTGCAAAGGAAAGAAAAGCAACAGGATGCATGGATTATCCCCCCCAGACCAGAATGAAAAGGTGCTGTCAAACAAACACAGCTTCCTAGTCACAGCGCAGCAGCAGGTGAGTCAACCAGCTGACCTGGGAGAAAAAAAAAACCCTTAACAATGAAATTTCAGGGAAAAAAGAATGGTGAGCCACACACAAATTTGGGCCAGAACAGCCGCATACATAAAGCCTTTAACCTTAGGAAGTCAGTAAAAATGTACAATGAATATAAACCATGCAGACTTCACAGCTGTGCAGTTACGGACCGTTAGCATACCAGTCTGGATACAACACCTTGCACACCAGCTCTGTGCCACCCCAGCAATGGGTCCAGCAACCAACAGAGGTGAATTTTTGGCAGCCAGTGCAGTGCCAACACCACTTCCCACCAAACTTAATTTGGGTGGGTTTTTGTCGTTATTTTTTTTTTTCCTCTGGAGCCACCCCCACTGCCCACGTCCCTCAGTGCCACAATGAGTGTCCCCACCACGCCTGGGCAGTTTGTGCTGGTGCAACGTTACTCTTTCTGATTAGAAATTTCTCCTAATATCCAGCCAGACCCTCCCTGGCACAACTCGAGGCCATCACCTCTCGCCCCATTGCTGTCAACGGCAGCAGAGGCCGACCCCAACTCTGCGCAACCTCCTCTCAGGGGTTGTGCAGGGCAGTCAGGGGCCCCCGAGCTCCTCTTCTCTGACCGCCCCACCCCAGTTCCCTCGGCTGCTGCCCGCAGGACCGTGCTCCAAGGGCCTCCACGTCCTTCTCATCGCGAGGGGCCCAACGCTGCACGCAGCCGGGGAATCCACGAGCACGGAAACCCACAACGCGGCCGCGCGCCGCTCCATCGGAGCCCGTGAGCAGAGCCGCAGGCACAGAGCAGCGGGCCGAGGCCGCTCTTCCGTACCCGGTTCTTCTCCTCCACCTCCTGGATGCGCCCCGCCCTCCATCGGTCGATCTCAGCCTCCCGCTCTGCGGCGCGGGCCGCCTCCTCCTCCTGGGCCGCTCGGGCCTCCCGCTTCCTTCTCTGCAGCCGCTCCCTCCTCTTCCTCGCCTTCTCGGCCTTCCGGCCCAGTTCCCGCAGGTAGCCGGGCTCCCTCAGCGGCCGCACCGTCTCCCTCAGCTCCTCCAGCAGCTCCTCGGCCTCGGCCCGCTCTCGCTCCCAGCCCTCCTCTCGACCCTCGGCCTCGCGGCACCGCAGGGCCCGGCACAGCGCCACCAGGCGGCTCACGGTCCCCAGCGCCCGCACCGCCAGCCGCCGCCCGAGCTCGAGGCCGGCGCCGCGGGGAGGCGGCGGGGGCTGCGCCGGGGGGCCGCGCCGGGCGAGGAACTGCGCCAACCAGCGCTCATCGCGCTGCCGCTGCGCAGCGTCCTCGTCTTCCGGGTCCCGCGAGGGCGGCGGCCGCTCGGCCGAAGGCCACGGGGGGAAGAGCGGCGGGGCGGCGGGGCCGCGGAAGAAGGGGCCGGGCTCGGAGGAAGGAGGCGGGAGGAAGGGAGGGAGAGCCGGGCGGGCGGCGGGGACGGGGAAGGGAGCGGGGGGAGGCGGGAACGGGCCTGGTGCCTGAGGAGGGAAGGCGCGGAACGGCGGCGGCGGCGCGAAGCGGCCCAGGAACGGCGGCGGCGGCGGCGGAGGCTGCGCCATCTTGGAGGCGCGGCGGCGTCTGCGACTGCGCCCCCCGGCGGCCGGGAGGAACGGGCCTGGCGGGCGGTGACGGCGCTCTGGGGGCGGGGCCTGAGGGGAAGAGCAGCCCGACCGGCTGGGGGCGGGCGGGGAAGGGACCGGGTGACGTTGAAGAAGCGGGCGGCATGACTGAAGGGAAAGGCTGCTGTTTTGCTTAGAGCCGTAGAGTCACCTGCACCGCTCCGATCCCCCGCCCAGCCATCAGCGCGCCCCCACCGTGCCCGCTGTCCGCAGGTCCCCTCCAGGCACAGCCGCCCCTACCGCCCGGGCGGTCCGTGCCCGTACCTCACCTGCTATCCAACCTGAACCTCCCCCGGCACAATTTCAGGGCATTAGCTCTCACCCTAATTTATTAAAACTGAGTTAAAAGAGCCTCATCACCATCACCGAGCTCCTTTGGTGTCCATCTGTGACTGAACAGAACTGAATTTCCGAGCCCAGGCTAACCAGCAGCTCCGGCCGCGGAGCAGCAGGGATGACACGGCTCCAGCTCCCAGTATTGATTGGTTTTATTCAAACTCCAGCAGTGAGGTACAAACTGCAGTTACACAGCATTTGTTTCCTTAAAAACAGTTCTTGATTACATAATTGCAAATAATCCCAAACAACTTCCAAAACTAAGTTGTTTTAACAGTTCTGCCTAGAATGGTGGTTATTCTTTTCAATCCATTTAAAAAACAATCTGATTAAAGAGCTCTGAGTTAAAAGCAAATCTATTTCTCACTCTACAAAAAGGAAAATGAGGACATGTTACAGCTCACCACAGATTCCCATCTGAGGCGACGAAGCTTCTCTAGAAACACTCCCAATTCTAAAAGCAGCTTTTTCCAAACCACGGATGGGCGACTGAACAGAAAAAGGTGGAATCCTAATGCAGTACCTGATGCATCTGGCTCACGCTGCTTCCTATGGAAGAACACAACGATTACATGACTGTCACTTCAAATTTACATGACAAAAATGAACAAAAAAACGAGGGCCAAGCACCCACAGAACCCTTCCCTACATAAAACACCTACAGGGTGGAAAAGAACGAGACAAGTTTTCTGTAAAAAGCACGAGTTAAATCTTCAGGAGAAGGGCTCAGGAAAACCTCAATCCATCACTGAAGGACAAAACCGAGTTGTAAGCAACAATTTTAATTCCTGAAACAGACTGAAAACGTACAGGTCCAACTGGGTTTTTACAAATGCTTTCCTAAGGGATTGAATTCATTTGGATGTAGAACAGGAGGACTGCTTTGCTGTGAGCCTAAAAACCAAAGACAAAAGCACAAGATGCAATACTATAGCATTTGAGCGTATAACTTAAAAAGCACTGCCGTGTGAACACTCACTACTGATTACATCAAAAATATTATACACTTACTCTTTGTCTCTTAACATTATAAGATAGGTTGGGCAAATACCTGGCACCAAAAAATTGATGCATGATAGTTCCAATACGTTAAACAAAATGTACTATATTAGAACATTAATATTTAAAAATTTATGCCAACTTGTCATCCAAACTCTGGCGGCTTAGCACTCCCTCAATTTCATTTACCCTTCTGGAAAAGTGAGCAAATCATTGTCTTCACCTTCATCCGCAGCATTTAAGGTGACCGAAACTTTCTCCCGATGGAGAGGTGAACAACAGGATGTATTCAGTATCCAATTTAACTAACAAGCCAGTGGTACATTTTTAGCAGTATCTCCCAGCACTGTCTGCAGTGCCCCCAAGCTTTTCAGAGTCCTGGTGCAAGGGCTTCCCTTCCAGCCCATGTAACAAGTCACTCCAGCACCGCTGGCTCCCAACACCAGCAGAAGTCTAACACTGCATACCCCCACGTGAGTTGTACGAGGAGCTGATCATTCGTTCACCCTCTGCTAATTATTAAACTTGTTTTCCCATTTGTAGAGTAGCATTACTGTAAAATCTACCTATCGGCAGCACCTGCATTGCTGTTTACTTTTTAGAAAGAGCAATCCAGGTGTTGCTGTATTTGCTATGTTTTAATTGAACAAGTGTAGTATACAATTTATATTTGAACATTATGCCATTCAAGTCCACACAATGTCCATCGAATAAATCAATGTGATGTTACAGTAAAAGACATGATCTGATTTATCTGGTAAGGTTCCTCATCACGTATCGTATCCGAGATAGATCCAATGCTGTTAGTATCAGATTGTGAAGCCAGAGGCAAATCCTAAGGAAATAACCAAGTGCGCTTTTTGCAGGAGAGCATTCTGACAGGATTTAATGGTGAGCAGCATCTGCTTGTCGAGGCCAGCCGTCTTCCTCAACTCCAGAGTCATATTCTTCTTCAGATGAATCTTTAGTGGGAGCCCTATAATTAAAATGAACGGATCAGATACTCTGTAAATGGAGGAGAAAAAGATGGAGACAGTTTCTGTATCTTGTGGGCAATTTGCTACCTCCAAAGTGCCCTGATGAAAGCTGTTCAGATCTCCATCTGTTTAATGACCTTTTGATCTGAAAGTGGTGCTATGCAGATTTAAACTAGGCAAGCTCGTTACTGAACGCCAATCCCAAGGCTCATGAATTCAGTTAAGTCATTTGATTTCATCAGTAAATGTTAAGTTTTCAGCAGACATGAGCGCTGCAAAGCAAGCCATAATAACCTTTCCCTTGGGAAATTATGTGCATACAGACAAATGCAGAGCACACACTTCAG